CTCACGGCTAGTCGGGGTGGAATTCAGGCTGCTGTCTTTCTTGGCAGGCAGCCGAGAGTCGGTTGTGTGCTGTGGCCTTGGGCTGGAGTCAACGTCTTATCTTCGGGCCTAGCTGGAGCCATTTTCTTCTCTCTCCCTCCCTCTTCGGCCTTTTGCAACCTGCAAAGGAACCTTTCACTCACACCTTTAACCCTTCCCAGAATGCGTTGCAATGCCTGCAACAGCATTAGCAACAGTCAATGCTGATCTGCCTCCCCAGGGGACCCCCTGAGGGAGGGAGGCCATTGGGGTGTGGCAGCAGTACATTTCAACGCACTTTACAAAGGAAGGTAAGTACTGTATCTTCCTCAATTTACAAACGTGAAGAGTATAGTTCTATATGTGCCTAGACCTAGGATCAGGACCTATCTGTGTTCATATAAATCTGTACACATTTATCCAAAAAATGTATACAATATTTATACATAGTATTTTTTAAAAAAATTAGGGCAGTATTACCATGCTTACACTATAGATATAGGGCTCTGAATTATTTCAGATGCTTCCTTATTTGTATCCATCAGAACTAACCCTTCCAAAGTAGCTGGACAATTTTAGAGGTACTTTATTTTGTTTATTGTTATGTATAATATAAAAATTGTACACTCTACCATTAACTTGTGAGACAGTGAAGACAAAAATAATCTCTGCTGCTGCTAAATAGCAGCATTAAATAATTTATTTCTAAGTTTCTACATGGCACCAGAGCATCTCACACTAGTTAAAACATACAAACCAGGGCAGGGGACGGGGGGGCTGAAAGGTCTTTTTAAATGACACATACTAAATCAGATCACGTACATTGCCTCAACCAAAGGCCTGAACAAGTAAGGAAAGCTGTTTCTTTGCCCTGAAACTTGTGAAATGAGGGCTCTAACAGCTGTCAGAGGGAGCGGGCCCCAGAGATCTGGATTCTAAAATGGTAAATTCAACTCCAAGCATCAACAGCAGAAGAGACAACAGTTGATTGTAAATGTCAAGCTGGCACATAACAGTGAGCATCTTTAAAACTTCAACATTCACCACTCATTTATACCTGCAGTGAAAGCAGTATCATTTTGTATCAAGAAGATACAATAGTATTGGTATCACTTGAGTGAAAATGTTGAGTTTTAATGTTTTGCACTCTAGATAGGAGAGTCACTGTTTCTTATATAGTAGTCCCCAATCATTTAGAGCTTTAAAGAGCATGAACCAACTCACTGAGTTGGCCTAAAGAAAAACTGACATTAAAATCTCACTAATTTTATTTTTGCAGGAAGTTAATCTTCAGTTTTACAAAACAATAAACCAAAGGAAAATACGATTGTATAATAACAGAGGGCAACCTACTCCTTTAGGCCATCATTTACATGCATGCGCAACCCAGGAAAGTGTTAATGCATACAGGAGAACATACATGGAGTTCTGTTTGCATATTCTTCTCTTCTCTCAGTGCTTGTGTCCCTGCTGAAGTTTGGGGACTCTGAAGGTTTTCTGAATGTACAATTCTCCTCTGTGCCCAGCAGCCTCTGTACATTTTGGGAGTACAGGAATCCCTGCTGGAACTTCTACTGCTGGAAAGTTCCAAGGGATGTGGCTGTCCCCTGGCAAATGGGCCTGCAGGAGAAGAGAGCCGATGTGTGTGGAGGGGGTGGGGAAGGAGGCACTGGAATATATCAGAGGGAAGAGCAGAGGAACAGCAAGGGAAAGTGAACACCACTAAATCTTGGCACTCACTGCAGAGCGCTCTGGCTGGTGATTGGAGGGTCACAGAAAAAGAGCCTGCAGCATCCTTGAAGTTACATCCCCATCCAGTTGCCTGCTGACTCCACAGTTGTTGTGGCAGCCCCAGGAATTGCTAGCCATTGGAGTACAACATAGAGGAGCTGCTTGCCCACCCAAGGAAGCAGGTGTCATCTGGACAAACAACAGATGATGTGGCAATTAGGCAGCAAGAAAGGGGTAGATGGGATGAGGAAAGACCTAGAGACATTGCTGGGAAGGAGACAGGCAGATCCATCAGAAAGTTGATAAGGGAAGGATCATGGTATGTGGCAAAATGGGGTACACAGTCATTTCAAAGTTCTGTAATGAGTGCTTAGACTTTGTACTTGGAGGTACAATATTCTTACACTATTACGCACACCTATGCTGTAGCGTCTCATCTCTGCTTTGAGCTGAGCTAACATCCCTGTTTCGTACATTATCTGTACATTCCAAAAACCAAGTTTGTTTTTTGTCTTGGTGTTGAGCACTTCAGTCTTCATTCCAGTGGCTTCGTTTCGGCTTTTGCCACTGGCAGTCGTACAGGTCATTGACTCCTGAAAGCAAATAACACACAGTAATGGTCAATTTCTCTGCTGCTGTTTTCATAACATTTTATTTTTTAGGGGACAGGGTTGTTAGCTCTGTGCCTAATCCCCAACCTGGAGGATCGGGGTGTCTGTTTTGTCTGCTCCCTCCCCTACACTCAGTCCTTGATGGAGCATAAAGCCCCTGTCGACACAGACTCTGGGGATCTTTAAGGCATGCAAGCTGTCCTGCCATGACAAGGCACAGAAACCAGAGGAGAGACCTATACATGGCTGGACACAGTTGAACCAACTTCCTTGATTAGACATGAAGACAACATCTAGAATTATAGGAAAATATGATAGCTGTAAAAAGACAAAAAAATTTCCTGTGATATTACCTAAGTTACCACTTGCTTAATTTTAAAATATCCCTGTTGACATCTAACTATGCAAACTCTTATCAATTAATTATGATCTGTTGTAAAAAGTTGGACACACTTTAGCTGAAAAAGTATGGAAAATATACTATCCTAAATTATAGCTAAAGCAGAAAGATATTTGACGGTTAGAGTGGGGATAGTTTTATTGCATTAACTTTAGTACTTTAGATTTAGTATCTCTGAGATTTAAAACCATAGATTAGTTAGGACACATACTTGGTGTACTGGACTATCCATAAATTACCCATGTCTTATGTCTGTTTCTTTGAAGTGCTGAAGTCTCTTGGCCCCTATTAAAGTCAGTGGGAGTTGTGGGTATTCTAGACCTTCCAGGACTTGGAGATATAGAGCTTATAAGTTCATGTCCTATATCTCTAGATATCTCCAGATAGTTGGGGCTATGTTTGGATATTGTGAATCTTGATAAGTTTGTGTATTTTCATCAGGCAAGAGGGTTACAGGGATACATCATTGCTATACATGTTCTAGTCTGACTTCTTTTGTTTTATAAGATTAGTCAGCTACTTTCCTTTTAACTATTCCCTCTTTTTCTCGTGGTAAGTGTGTACAACCCTGTCTAATACAAATGTGTGTGTCCTATTGGCACTCAAACAGAGCCTCAGGGCCAGATTTTAAAAGGTATTTAGGTGACTAAAGATGCAGATAGGCATTTAGTGCAGTTTTCAAAACCCATTCAAAATTTATGGAGTTAAGTGTCTAGGAACTTTTGAAAATACCATGAGGTGCCTATCTGCATCTTGAGGCACCTAAATACCTTTAATAATCTGGCCATCACTGACTAAGTAGATCCTTTATTTGGAGGCAACAAAGAGCTTCATTCGCCTCTCACATTGATTTTACACCAGTGTGACTCCGTTGAATTCAGTTGAGTTAGTCATGGGTTACAGTGTTGTTAATGTAATGTTACCAGTGTGGGAGCATGAGTGGGTGTTTTATCTTCACAGTGGGGAAGCTCATCATTGTAAAACATAACAAAAGAGGCAATAATTCACCACGTGGTTTCCTTTCTTAGAATACGATGAATTCAACAAAGATGCTGCTATATTTAGTAAGCCTATTGTAATTTATACCTAAATAAAAATAACTCACATATGTACTCCAACAGTATTGCTGACTTCATACCTGTATTTTTTAATTCATGCTTGTTCAGCTTTCAAAGCTGAAATTGTTTAACTTACTGTTTGTTTATTTACTCGTCTAACCTAATAAAAGATCTCTAGCAGTAAGGTAACTTTGCAAAATTAATTTGCAACCAGTCCCAAGACATTATATATTAATAGTATTCAGAATCACACAGAATATCAGAGTTGGAAGGGACCTCAGGAGGTCATCTAGTCCAACCCCCTGCTCAAAGCAGGACCAAACCCCAATTTTTGCTCCAGATCCCTAAATGGCCCCCTCAAGGATTGAACTCACAACTCTGGGTTCAGCAGGCCAATGCTCAATCCACTGAGCTATCCCTTCCTGTTGGAAGGTCATAAGTGGTGGCAAGTTCTTGGATCTTTTGGTGGAGTTTTAGTGAACCAGAAGTAATTTGTAATCGAGACACTTTTGTGAGAAGTTGGTTGCTTAGAGCCCTAAAAGGGCTGTAGTGGATTTAGCTATGGAGAAAGAAGATGCTGAGAGGTAATATTCTCCTGAAATACAAGAACAAGGGGGAAGAACTGCAAAATGAGTAAAAGATAGACAAATCTAAGTGAAAAGCAAGTATTTCCTCAGTTCCTTACGTATCATTTTCATGTATTCCTGAACATTTTATTTTGTTCTATTATGTAAACAGAGTTACTGGATTGTTTTTATTGCTGTTCCTTAGATTACAGAATCATAAATATCAAGACCTCATGTCCCTCTCCTTCCTGGAGGACCTTGGCATGGTCTTTGGAGGACTGAAGAGTGGTGCCATATGAGGCTGTACACTGAGCTGCAATTCTTCCTCACTCAAACTGAGTTCAGGTTTTTTCCCTGTGTATCTAACACTCAGCATGTTATTCCCTATATATAGTGGGAGGAGGAGCTTCAGCTCAGGTTACAGGTAGTGTAGCCTCATTTTCATATTCTCCAAAGAACTTGTATAACTTCATTAGGCAAGATGGAGAAGCAAAGACCTGATGTTTCAAACAATTATAAAAGACAATTAGAAAAGTCTATGGTTTAAAAACATAATTTGAGGCTACCTTTATACGTAACGAAGGACAAAATGAAAATGAATGATTTTTCTTTGCAGGTCACCATTACGTGATTTTTATACAGCTGTTGCCACTTTGAGAATAGTTTCCATGGTAGTCCTGCATGGATACACTAGAGAGAGAAGAGGGAACAGGTAGGCCTTACTCTCCCCTTCTCATTTGTACAAGGTGGCAGACATAATTCTAGGAGTTGTGTTAAGGAGGGTAGGAGGGATGACAACAGAAAGAATCTGTGTGGATAGGGCACATTGATGCAGCTTCAATGTGGGGAAGCTGGCTACACTTTTTCTAGCACATAGTAAGCTCTGCTAGCCAATGCACTCCACCCTGAATCTCTGGAGCCTTATTCCTTACAATAATGAGATGCCTCTAAGAGCAACACTTGGCCTCTTCCCTTTCCCCTAGTGATGCATGGACTGTTAGATGCCATATTCAAGCCCTTAATGTTCTGCAAAATAAAATTTTCTAATACAAACAAATATAGTATGTGAACATAGAAGTGCTTTGTTTTTCTTACGTAATAGATTATTCCACGTTTTCACAGAAAATAAAAATCCCATAAAATATCTCTTAGTTCTCACAGCGAAATACTTATTATTATAGCATAAATGGCAAAACAACAAGAAAACCCCCAAACCCTTCAATTTTCCCCTTAATAAACTTCACTCCTCACTCAAAAGTTGGTATAAATTTGCTGAATATGTGACTGTATTGATTTTCCATTAATGTAAAACAGTCCTTAAAAACCATAAATTACATCTGCCATCTGCATCACAGAATGTATTGTTTCCTTTTCCCTGACACTTACACGCAGGCATTATGGCTATTCATAGGCAGATATTATCGGTTCTGGTAGCTAAGATACTACAGTTTAAATCCATTAAATTCCTCCAGGTACATCGTGGTTTAATCATCTCCTGAAGATAATAATTCTATTCATATAGTAAAACTGGATGGACAATGGTGTGCATATTGTATGATCTCTTTAACAGAGCAGTAAAAACATTCCAACAAATGCAGCTAGGATACAATCTACCAATTGACCAGATCAGGAAATACTTCATGTTTTAGAGTCTGTACACCTTTGTGTCCAGTGCCTTTCTCCCAACTGTTGCCCCCACCCCTAAATCCCTCTACCCAGCTGGTGCCCTCGTCCCACAACTGGGGCCCTCACCCCATGCCCCCACCACCTGGTGCCCCTTCCCCCCATGCCTCCTACCCCATGCCCCCACCACCATCTGGTACCCCCATCACCGCATGTACTGCCCCTCTCCCTTTGACCCTATAACCCCAGTTCTGGGCGGTGCTTACCTCAGGCGGCACCCAGGAACCTGCCGGCGTCTCCCTCTGGCTTCTAAGCAGAGGCTCTGCGTGCTGCCTGTACCTGCAGACACCACCTCCTCAGCTCCCATTGGCCGCAGTTTCAGGCCAATGGGAGCTGCTGAGCTGGCACTGGGGGTGGGGGCAGCATGCAAAGCCCCCATGCTCATCCCGCTGCCTAGGAGCCAGAGGAAGATGCCAGCAGCTTCCCAGGCATTACACGGAGCTGGGTAGGGATCCTGCCTGTGCCCTGAACTGGACTTTTAACGACCTGGTCAGCACTGCCCTCTTCAACCAGGTGTTCCAGTTGAAAACCTGACACCTGGTAACCCTGGGCAAAACACCCCTTTTCTTCCAGCTAGCCAGACAAATACTCACATAAAGGTGGCAGTGGGCACAGTATGTCTAAGTCACTTTACATCTTTTTGATTCTTTTAGGTTTTCCAAAATTATTTTCTGTGTATGTTGGTAGATTAACAGGCTTTAAAACTTAATAAAATTTCACTGAAAGCAAACCGTGCCTCTCACGGCACACTCACTCCCTCTCTTTTCCCCCCACTCCTCATGACATGTCTCATTCTGACTCTGCTGCAATTTTTTTCACCAATACACAAACCTCTTCACACTATGTTTTACCCAGGTTGCATTCTCATTCCAAAAGGAAGGTTTTTTGTGGATTGCTAAAGTGTATTAGTGACTTTTTCTTAAAAGCTGCCACTCTAAGATGCAAAAATAAATTAAAGAAGCTACATTTTTGCTTCAAAAGGTTGAGTTTTATGAGGGCATTTTTAGCTCATGTAGTGAGTTTTCAGCTAATAAAATCTGTGTTTTAATATTGAAATTTTTGACTGAGTTTATCACAGAGCATTATATTCAGATGAAAATGAATTGAGGAGAAAAATCAAACCGTTTAACTAGCACAATCCAGGTGTTTGCTGATTTTCAGCCATCTGTGAAATATGTATGCATACTACTTGTCTTCTAGATGATAGGCCTGCATTGTAATGAGCATTAAAACCAAACCTGTTTATCACATAAAAGATTTGTGAGTCAGTAAAATTGATGTAATTGAAAATCATATTTTATAGTAAATGGAAAAATGCTCTTTTTAATATGCAAAAAAATAGCATTCATTAAAAATTGTAATCCACTTTTTGAATTTAATGCAATGTAACTTTAATTTTCAGAACATTACTTGAGGCAATGGTTTGATATTTTCTTGAAGTTCATCTGATTAGTTCTCAGAATTATGCTGAGAAAAGCCATTTATTATAGAAAATAACTTTTTAAGCAGTGAACCTCAGCAAAAAAAAATTCTCTTTTATGGTAAATTGTTTTGTGCTTTTCAATGGCAAGGGCAGTAGTTAGCAATAATTTTATAATGAACTTTTTTTTTATGATTATCAAATCAATTTTAAATCTTAAAAGAAAAATGGCATTGATTTAACCGAATCTGTGGTACCACTTTTGTGAAGGTGAGCTTAAAATAATGTATTTTAAGTCTGATTGATTTTGGTCACTATTATGCCATAATTCATGTGATATGAATTGCTTATGTAAATTAAACATACTCTGGAATTTCTCATCCAAGTTATGATGCATAACTAAAGCCACGTTACATATACCCAAGGCATGAGTTTTGAATATGTTAGTGAATAAGCTTGGTAAAGTTACATAGCAATTAGTCTGAGGACTTGCTGAGATAAATGAGTTGCCTGCACTGCAATTTAGTACAATGGAGATTTGTCCTGTTTCTGCAGAAGTTTTAAGCAGCTTTACTGGTAAGTAAAACATTAATTGAAAATGATGGGCCAAATTCATCTCTGGTGAAATCCTAGTGTCTTCAAAACTAACTTTATTCAGTCATATCTATCTCTGACACAAAGTGGTGTTCAAGCCCTGCCCCAGGACTTCTGGTCATATCAAATGAGGACAATGAAATGCATCATATGAAGGGTGATGAATTTTCAGAGGAACTGTCCATCAGATTAGATTAAAATTAAAGGGTTTTTTTTTTGTTTTTTGTTTGTTTGTTTTTTGCCAGACCATTAAAGTTAAAAGCTTTCATGACATTTTGCTGTGGGGCAAGTGGGAAAAAATGGTGGTTTGGCCAATATGCATCACCTTTCAACCTCAGTAAAACAGATTCTAATATTCATGTCTGTGTGCAACTTTTTGTTCAGTGCATATGGCTGTTTCACGTTCCTGTGTAAATGTTATACTAGCAGTGTTCAGCTGATTGCTTTGGGATGCACTTTGAGATATTTTAAGTGTGTGTGTGTGTGTCTCACACACACATGCACTCTATTTTGTGGTATAGAATTTAATAGGTATATTATGTTTATAAAATTAACTTATTGTATGTGCTATTATCAAACTGATAAAACACCCCCAAAATCCAACTTCTAACTTTTGGAGGTAACTTCCCTCTGGGGCAAGTTATTCCATAACTGCTTATTGAAGAGTTTTTTTGCACCTTCCTCTGAAACAACTAGTACTGGCCACTGTAAAAGACAAAATACTGCACTAGGTGAAACACTGGTCTGATCCACTGTGGCAATGCCTGTTTCAATACTCTGTCTACAAAGCCCTTCATTTTCAGTTTTTGCCAATTTTTACAGAAAAATTCCTGGGTTTTATAAATGCTATTTTTACCAATTTTTCACATGAATTTTGGACCACTCAAGTATATGAAAATTGTAGTTGTTGGGAAAGTAGATATTTGTTAATAATAAATTAAGTGTAAATGTGAGGCTGTCTGTTAAAGTAAGCTAATGTGGTAGAAGATAGACACATGCATGCTCGTGCATGCTATATGTTCTATTCATGTACAGTTAATTAAATAAACCATAGCATGAAACTGCTTTTACTTTTAATGCTCTTAATTTTCTCTATTTGTTGCTTTTTTTCAGTCCTCCAGTCCCCCAATATTAACCCTGTTATTTACCCAGAAAACTGAAGTTAATTTTCTGTGCCGGTTTTCACATATTTGCAATCTTTTGTAATAAACAGTGATACATTCCTGGAGAATTGTAAACAAAATAAAAAACAAAAGCAAAAGACTTTGTCTCTCCACATTCACCTTTCACATTACTAAACAAATTTTAAGAAATCTTTCCTCATTAGATGACATTAGTGTAGTACCTTTCATTTTGATTCTATATGGACTGTTGATTTTTACATTTACTGTTAGTATATTCTGTGTATCTGGTGCATTCAACTCTTTAAGTTTTCTTGTGGTCTGTAAATGTAATCATTGGAAACTAAGCATTATTTTCAAAGGAACCTCAATCTAGCTTCCATTTGTGTGAGCAGGATCATCTGCTTTCCCAGGGTTTCTGTACTATCACTTACAAGTTGAAACACACACACAATAAACATTACACAGAAATGAGTTGTGGTTGATTTGCGTGCACAAAAGTATTTGCAGCCCCGAGTATAATAATTTCTGTTACAGCAGTGTAAATCTGGAGTAACTAATTTAAAATAATTGGAGTTACTGTGGCTTTAAGTCATTGAGGCAGGGCTCTGATTATGCTGATTCTGTCTGAAAATGTGTATGCTCAAGTGGTTGCATGCACAAGGACTACATTTTGAAATCTGACCCTTTGTGTCATATGTAACTTTTGAAATCATGCAGCTTTCCCTTTTGTAAACTCATTTATTTTTAAAATTAAATAAGTATGTTCTAGCACTGAATCTTTTGGGACTCTGTTGGGGGAAAAAATCCCTTCAATGGGATTTAGTTCTGTTTACAGCCCCAAGTATATAACTTATTAGCCAATTCTATTTTGACCCCAAGGGCACTGGTTTC